GTGTGAGAAACTGAAAGTGTAAATAAGGGCTAAAAGGTATAATAGATAATGTGAAATAGGAAGAAAAGGGGCAAAGGGTAGGGGGAAGTGGGAGGGGTAGGGGAAAGGAAAGAGGGGAATGGAATTAATACGAGAAAACGAAAAAAATGGAAACAAAGTCTTTGTAAATAGGGAGGGATGAAGGGGTTGAAGGGCGGGTAGGGGAATGGCCAAAAATAAGAACCAAGAGAGTATGTAAAGGTGCATATCTCCAATGACGAATGTCATTATGTTGTATACCTAAAATGTACCAATAAAAGGATATACCAAAAAAAAAAGGAAGCTCAGATGAGGGAATATAAAAGCTTTTCGTGTGCGTGTGTGTGTGTGTAAAACTTTGGGGTCTTGAACAAAGAGTTTTTTGTAGGGGAGGAGGTTTATGTCTGGAACCCAGGATAACAATGTTGTGTTCAGGGAGGGTTTCACAGAAGAAAGATTAGATTTGGATCCTGAAGAATGAATTGAATTTTCCAGCCACAGAAGGCAGGAAAGAAGATTCTAGGCGAAGAACATTAGTACAAGCAGAGTCATAGAAACTTGGGGCAGGTGACACTTTCAAGAAACGAGTTTGAGAGGAGAGTATAATCAGTGATAAAGCCTGTGTTTAGTATTCCCAAGTCCCTGGGTTTCAATCAAGGGAAAAGAAAAGAAACAAAATGAAACTTGAGTTTGGATAATCTAAGGGATGAAGAATATAAGAGGAGCCTGACTGATTGGAATAGATTGCAAAGGGCCTTGAATATTTTTATTTGGATATATCATACTTTCTGGTACACATCTGCTCAGCCACATTACTAAATAAATTTTTTTTTTTCTTTTTTGGTGTTGGGACTTGAAGATAGAGTCTCACTGATACTAAGCATGTACTCTACTCCCTGAGCTATATCCATAGTCAGTTTCTCATTAGTTTTCACGGAAAATGAGAGATTGGAATCATCTTGCGAGTGAACAGAATTGGAAACATCTGCTCCGGCAAGTGATAAGACTCGTGGTAGTGTTCCTACTTCATAACCTGTTTTGGTAGTGTTCCTTTTGTTTAAATTTTCTTATTAGTATCTACAAGCAAGCACTAATGGGTAACTTGAGGATACAGAGAACTCCAGGGGATGTTAAGGTTGGAAGAGAGCCAAGAACATCTAAGCCAGGGGTTCCTCAACAGTCTGCAGGCTTACATGGGTCTGCCTGTGCAAGTCACTTGGGAGCTTGTTAACAAGTAGGTTTCTAGTCCTCTCCAAGAGATTCTGATTCAACAGGTTTGAAGTGTGCATCAGGAATCTTTATTTTTAGACAATATTCCTTGTAATTCTGATGAATGAGCAGTTTAGGGATTCAGTCTGATTCTCCCATTTTTGAAAATAAGGAAACCAGGACATTAAAGAGATAATGATTTTTCTCAAAGTCATAGGACAAGTAAGTGACAGAACTTGGATTGGAGTACAATTCTTAATCTCTCTAAAGTTTATTCTAGTATAATACATCTGTGGAAGATATTATATAAGAAACTTTGTTAAATGGGTATTGAAATAGCAAGGGTTTACATTTAGAAACAATGGAGTGCCTGAACATTTTTATCATGGAGGAGTATTTACCAATTTATTCATTGCAACACAGGAGACTTACTTTTTGTTATGAAAATGCTAAGTAGAAAAGGATTTTCTCTGTACTGGAACAGTGGTACTAGCACTAGTAAGTTCCTGGGTGGACCTCAGTAACTACACAGAGCAGAGACCCTGTTTCTCACTGGATCCCATTATTCACCTTGGGAGCTGTTTTTTGTTTTTTGGGGTTTTTGGTATGGGGGATCTAACTTGGGACCTTGTTTTTGGTCCCAAAACATTTGCGAGGCAGGCGGCAGAACCACTCAGCTAAATCCCCTGCCCACTGGGAGCTGTTCTTAATTGAAGATGACTGTATGACATCCCACTAGCACTGTCACTTTGCCAAATTCATCCTGTCAGCTTTGTCTTTATAACTCTGTATTTGTTTGTTGTTTACATCATACATTGTCACAATCATGCACCTGTCTATTCTTCTGTCATACATGGGAGATAGAAGCTGTTAGTGCTTGGAAGGGAACTTGTGTTCCTACTTTTATGTTTTTTGTGTATCTGCTTCATAATCAGCTTACCAAAACACTGTTTTAGATCTTATCAAGTTAGAAATTGTTGAGCTAGCATTAATTATTCCTTTCCTTTTCATTGTATCCTGTGAACAGGATGCAATTTCTTTCTCCTGTGTTTTCAGAGGACATGCCCATATCTTACTTTCTTATGAATTCATTTCTATCTGCTAAGTCCTGAACATAGAATAGGTGCCTATTAAATGTGTGTGATTGATTTCTTTGCCTTGGTTGTATCCTGAATCTTAGCTCTTAAACATCAGAAGAGTTGGCAGAGGAGGAACTAAGGATTGTTGAAAGGCACAGAGGAAGATAGCAGATTGCCCAGATAACTTTGAGAAGGAGGAGTAAATAAAGGTTATAACAGCTCTGTGGTTCTAGGTCTGCAGCTGAATCAACTATATAGTTCCATATAATAATAGTCTCTTAGTGTAGGTGCCAAAAATTGCTTATACTTGCCATGTAATTTGAGTTTACTTTGGCTCTTTTTCTTCCATAGATACTTCTCCCTCCAAGCCACACATCCTCTTGGATTTGATGATGTTGTACGATTAGAAATTGAATCTAATATCTGCAGGGAAGGTGGGCCACTCCCTAATTGTTTTACAACTCCATTACGTCAGGCCTGGACAACCATGGAGAAGGTAATCAAGATCTTCAAAAGTTTTAAACTACAAGAAGTTTTACTGTTGAAGCCCAGACAATATAACCAAAACATAACACAACAGTGGAAAATTGAAGCAGTGCAGCATAGTGATTAAGAGCAGAGACTTTGAGTCTGGCTTGGTATGGATTAATTTCACCTTTATAGGCTGAGTGACCCCAGGCAGTTACTGAAATTCTTTAATGCCATTTTCCTTATTTGTAAAGTAGGAGTGACATCAAAGTTAGTTTGAAGATTAAAATGAGGTAATGTATGTAAAATGCTTACTACCATAGTGCCCAACACATGGTAACCATTAAAGTGTTAAATAGTTACTATATCTTTTCAGATAGTTAAATAATAGTATAGGGCAAATTTATCTTAAGAAAGATCCACAAGGTTGAAACACTAGTTTTATGTATCATGCTCACTTAAAAGGTATCATTAATAGCTTATTAATAATATTAAACTTAAAATTTGTGAATGATTTGTTCTTTGATGAACTAGAGCACATTTTGCCAGGAACTGCACAGACCCCAGGATAAGCCCGTGAGGTTAGGTTGCTAATACCTGTCATGTGTTTTCAGATGGAAAAATGTTAAGAGCTTTTACTTAACAGTATACAGAAATACTCCATTTTAAAAAGTATTCTTATAAACCCAATAATTGGGGGCTGAGGATTTAGCTCAGTGGTTTCAGCACCTACCACGCAACCTCAAGGTCCCGAGTTCTATCCCCAGTACCAAAAAACAAACAAACAAAAATAAACCCAATCATTAACTGAAGGGAAGATTAGCTATTACCCAGGAATAATAGTCTTTTATATGATTAAAATTTTTCTGCTGGATATGGTTGTATAGGCCTGTTTTACAGGCATCCAGGGAGACTGAGGCAAGATTGCAAATTAGAGATCAGTCTAAGTGACATAAGTCAGACACTGTCTCAAAATAAACATATAAAATAAAATATTTTTTCTGTTTTAAAGAAAAAGTCCAGAACTGTAGCATATAAAGAATTTAAACTTTCTGGGTAATGAAATTAACATACAGAAAAAAGTAAAATATAAAAACAGTTCTTACTCAATGTTTGTAAGTAAGGAACTTGCACTAATTTTTATGACCACTAGCAGGACCCTATAAGATAAATGGGAAATGGAAGTGAAGACATGATTTGTATAACAAAACACTTTTGAGTATTTCTGTGCTAATTATTCTTGTTATAGTGGTAAGAAGAAATGTGATTTCTTCCATTTTGGAGCTTATTCTATAAAGAAGGTACATATTGAGTACAGACATAAATATGTACAGTGTGCTCAGTGCTGTGAAAGAAAGCTTTGTAATAAAAAATGCAAATAAGGACTGGGGATTTGGCTCAGTGGTTTTGCCGCCTGCTGTGCAAGCACAAGGACCTGAGTTCGATCCCCGGTACCAAAAAAAAAAAAAAATGCAAATACTAAGGTGGCCATGGTGGTGCATGGCTGTAATTACAGCACTTTGGAAGGCTGAGGCAAGGAGGATCACAAGTTTGAGTCCTTAGGCAACTTAGACCCTGTCTCAAAATAAAAAATTTTAAAAAGGGCTGGGACATAACACTGTGTGAAAGCCCTGAGTTCAATTCCCAGTACTGGGGGCAGGGGAAACAAATAATAAAATAATAAACATGGGAACTTGTTCAGTATTATTAAAAGTTATTCTCTCAAGCGCAAGGTCCTGAGTTTGATCCCTGGTACAAAAAAAAATTTTATTAAATGCAAATAAAATCATTTAGGTACCATTTGACATCTATTTAACAATGATTTAAGGAAAAATAACCCAGTTTTGGAAAGCTTGTGTGGAAACAAACTTTGATATGTCCAATATTGCTAGTGAAACAAATTGTTCACATCCTTTTGAAGGCTAAATTGGCTTTGTATATTAATTAACACAGCAATCACACTCCTGCTAATTTGTCTTTAGGAAATCAGTTCAGAAGCAAAAATCAATATATTCACAAAGACTTTACTATTTGTCACATACCAGAAAAATCTAGTTTCAAATTATATCTACTGTGGAATATGTTTAGCTCACAGAGAGTATTAATATCAAGTCTATATAATTTCCATGACTATTGTATTGGGGGGAAACTCAACAACATTGTGTATATTGTAATTCCACTTATAGTGTAAAATGTATACAAAGGAATAATAACAGAGTGTAATGAGAAGTACAAACATTTCGTGTTAACTGGTAAAATTTATTTATTTAAAAAACAGATTTAGATGCATGGGATTTTTAACTTTAAAATAATGCTTTTTCTCTTTCAGGTCTTTCTGCCTGGCTTTTTGTCCAGTAATCTTTATTATAAGTATTTGAATGATCTCATCCATTCTGTTCGAGGAGATGAATTTCTGGGAGGGAGTGTTTCACTGACTGCTCATGGCTCTGTTAGCCTTCCTGATGAGTCTCAACCCGGTGGTTCTGACAGTGCCACTTCTCAGGTACTCGCTGATTTGCAATCTACCATTTTGAAGAAAGCGTACAAATCCTTTCCTTGAAATACCAGTAATAGATCTGATTTTTGAATTTTAAATTATAGACAGAAGAGAAATAAAATTACACTACTTACTATGTATTCTGATAAAAATATTTTTGGTGGATAACCACTGTACTGTCTTGTAAAATATGCTGTTTTATTCAGCCCATTACTCTGACACAGTGGCTGTTCTTAGTGGTCAAATGTTATTAAATACATTTGTAACTTCTGAAGAACTCTGTGTAGTTATTTGAGAATTTTTTTTCTTTGATTTTGGTTTTTTGAGTCAGGGTCTCACTTATGTAAGCCAGGCTGGCCTTGAACTCATGGTGATCCTTCTGTCTCAGTCTCCTGAGTGCTGGGATTAAAGATGTGTGCCATCATACCAGTACAGTGTGAGAAAATTTAATAGCTAAATTTAGGATGCTTTTTAAAAAGTAGAGTAATTGAGTGATCTCTGAAGTTTCTTTTTTCCTTAAAAAATTTTTTTATAAAGATAAGGTCTTACTAAGTTGCCCAGGCTGACCTCAAATTCTAGATCCTCCTCTCTTAGCCTGCCAAGTAGCTGGAATTTCAGGCATGTGTCACCCACCAATGTTCAGGTCTTAGGTTTCTTAATATTGTATTTTAATCAGGATTTTTTGGGTTTATTTTAAACTAGAAGGCTACATTGTACACTGCCTTAAAATTGTTTTTAAACTGTTACCATATATCAAACCTTGTGTGATTCTCCCCAAATCACATGAAGTGATATATTCTCAAGATAGGAAATGTGAAGGAGGCATTAAGGAGTTAACTGATTTTGGGAATGAGAAGTATAGAGCAGTGCCAACCTACATGTGAGGCTCTGGATTCAGTCCTCAGCACCACAAAAAAAAAGAAAGGAAAATTATATAGAAAGTGGTAGAGCCAGAAATATTCCCTGTCTAGTGTTCTTCATGATAAGCTTAATAAGATGGTTTATTAATTTTCTTGTCGCTGTTGACAAATAACACTTTGAAGTTTTGATACTGGGCCTTTAATTAATTTATTCTTCCTTTTTTTCTCATTCCTTCCTTCTTCCTTTCTTGTCTCTCTTCCTTCTCTCCTCTTCCCTTCTCTTCTCTTCTCCTCCCCTCCCTTCCCTGCTTTCCCCTGCCTTCTCCTACCTTCTCCTCCCTTCCCCTCTTTCTCCCCTCCCCTCCCCTTGTCCCTCCCTTCCTCCCTCCTTCCTTCTCTTTCTTTTTCTACTTTTCTCCTTCCCTTCTTTATTTTTTCTTGTACTGAGGATTGAATCCAGGGCTTTAGCACTAAGCTGCATCCCCAACCTTTTAAAATTATTTATTTTGAGACAGGTTCTTGATAAATTGCTAATTGCCCAGACTGGGCTCAAACTTGGCTCAGCCTCCCAAGATTTCTTAATTTATCAGATAGTACTATTTTATTGAGGTCCACAAGGCTTTCTTGAGTATATTTTTCCCCTGTTAAGTTTACTCATGACCTGCTGAGTATGGTTATCACTTTATTTTTTGAGATAAATTAGAATGGCTTATTTTTATTTAGGTCTGGGTGCTGGCCATAAAATAAATGTATGTATGCATTTTTTGCTACTGGGAACTGAACCCAAGACTTTGCACATGCTAAGCACATGCTTTACTACTGAGCTATACATGCAAGCCCCATAAAATTTATTTCATTGAAGCATAACATACATTAAAAAGCACATATAGGGCTGGAGATTTAGCTCAGTGGTGCCGATGCCTGCCTCGCAAGTGCAAGGACCCAAGTTCGATCCCCAGTACCAAAAAAAAAAACCAACATGATTATATATCTTGAAGAATTTTCGCAAACATCCATCTAAAATCAAGAAAAAAATCCATGCACCTAAATCAAGAAGCAGAACATTGTCATCCAGAAGCCCTCTAGAGCCTCTTTCCAAGCATATCATGACTTGAGAGCATTGATTAGCATTAATTGTTCTTGTCATTTTATCAATGAAATCATGCTGTGTATTCTTTTTTATTGTATAACTTCAGTGTGATAATTCACATTGGCATTATTGTTTGGGTTTTTTGTTTTTGTTTTTTGGTACTTGGTATCGAACTCTGGACCTCACACTTGCCAGGCAGATGCTGTGCCACTGAGCTAAATCCCCTGCTCAGTGGTTTTTAGTATACTCCAGAGTTGTGCATGTGTCTCCACAAGCAATTTTAGAACATTTTTTCATCCTCAAAAGAAACTATTAAATTCCAAATCCCTTATTTCTCCAGTCATAGGCAACCATTCATCTACTTTTTGTCTCTATCTCTATAGAGATTTGCCTAGTTTTATAAATAGAAACATATACTATACTAAAAATAGTATACTAAAATATTTTTATAAATAGAAACATATACTAACTCTCTTTTTGGTAATTGCTAGACTATTTTCCAAAGGGGCTGCACCATTTTGCAATCTCATCAGCAATGTATAAGGTCTCCAGCTTATGCACATTTTAGTGAAACTTCTTGTATTTGTCTTTTTGTTCATGGTCATTAGTGAGTATAAAGTTGTAGCTCATTGTGGTTTTTATTTGCATTTCCCTGATGACTGATAATGTTGAGCATCTCTGTATTTACTGAGTTTTTTTTCTGTCTTTGGAGAAAATGTTTAGATCTTTTGCCTATTTTTAAATTGGGTTATTTTTATTACAAGTTGCAGGAATTTTTTATATATCCTAGATATAAATCTCCTATCAGATATGATTTACAAATGGTTTTTCTAGTTCTGTAGGTTATCTTTTTACTTTCTTTTGTCTTTTGAAGCTAAAAATTTTACATTTTTGAAGAAGTCCAGTTTATGTACAGTACTTTATTTTTGTTTCATGTGCTTTGGGTGTTATGTCTAAAAACGATTGCAAAATCTAATGTAATGAAGATCTACAAATTCCTGTTTTCTTCTAAGAGTTTCAGATCTTTAATTCATTTTGAGTTAGTTTTGTACATGGTATAAGGTTGAAGTCCAACTTCATTCTTTTTCATATGGATGTCCTGTTGTTCTAGGAATATTTATTTAAAAATCTGTTCTGACAGTTGAGCATGGTGGTATAGCCCTATAATCAGTCCCAGATTTCTAGGAGGCTGAAGTAGGAGGCAAGTTCAAGCCTAACCTGGGTGAGTTATCAAGACATTATCTTTTTTTTTTTTCTGGCACCGGCGGTGTTTATTAGACAGCTGAAGGAAATTGAACAGATGCAGCTCTGCGGCTGTCATCCACAGACTGGTTCAGACACTGCAGTCAGAAAGCAAGACATTATCTTTAAAAAAAAATTTAAAAATAAAAAATAGGGCTGGGTATATAGTTCAGTGCAAAGGGCCTGGGTTCAATCCCTAGTACCACCAACAAAAAAAAAAACTACTCTTAGACCATTGAATGGTCTTTGCAACTGTGTTAAAAATCAGCTCACTGGGCAGAGGATGTAGCTCAGTGGCACCAGTACCTGACTGGCAAGCATAAGTTCCTGATTTGTATCCCCAGCACCGAGAAAAAAAAAAAATCAGCTCACCATGTATGTTTCTACATGTTTATTTCTGAACACTCAGTTCTACTCCATTATTCAGAGTCTCTTCCTATGCCAGTACCACCTTATTTTAAGTACAATATCTTTGAGGTAAGTTTTGAAATTACAAAGTGTGTATATATAACAACTTTGTTTTTTTATATTCGATATTGTTTTATCCTCAGTTTCTTACATTCCATATCAACTTTAGGATCAGCTTTTCCATTTTGATTAGGATTTTATGGACTATGTAGATTGCCTTAGAGATATTGCTATTTTAAAACAGTACTAAAATTTCTAGTCCATGAACACAGGATGTTTCTGTTTATGTCATCTTTAATTTCTTTTAGCATAGTTTTCAATATATGTTTCATATCTCCTTGGATCATTTATTTGTAAGTTTTTCTTTTTTGGCAGTACTGGGGATTGAACCCAGGGTCTCAGTCATGCTAAGGCAAGTGTCCTACACTATCTCTGACTGTCTGTCTGTCTGTCTATCTATCTATCTTACTGTCTTAATATCTTACTTCAGTGCTTACTTCAGTGCTGGGGATCACACCCAGGAGCACTATAACACTCAGCTACATTTTTACCAGCTCGTTTTAATTTTTATTTTGAGATAGTATCTTGCTAATTTGCCCATGTAGGACTTGAACTTTTGATCCTCCTGCCTCAGCCTCCCTTGTTACTAGGATTACAGGTGTGAGCCAACATGCACAGCTAATTTTTCCCTTTTGATATGATTATCAGTGGAATTGTTTTCTTAATTTCATTTTTGGATTGTTCATTAGTAATATATATAAGTAATTATTTTTGTTTATTGATTTTGTACTTTCAACTTTGTTAAATTTGTTAGAAATGTAGAATTTGTTAGTTTTCTTATGGATTCTTTACAGTTTTCTATATGTAAGATAATGTTATTTACACATAGTTTGTTTTTTCCTTGTCCATTTTGGAGGCCTTTTATTTCTTTTTCTTGCCTATGTGCTCTCAGAGGAACCTCTAGTACAGTAAAATGTGGAGTAAAAGTGGCAAAAGACAGGCATCTATATCTCATTCCTGACCTCGCAAGGAAAGCTTTCACTTTTTCACCATTTAACTTGTTAGATAAGAGTTTCTTTTTAATTTTTACTTAATTTTTTTTGGTACTGGGGATTGAACTCAGGACCTTGTGCTTGTGAGGCAGGCAGCGGCACCACTGAACTAAATCCCTGGCAATTTTTAAATTTTTATAAATGTTGTTTATCTAGTTGAGGAAGTACCCCACCAATCTTAACTTTTATAAATTTTTAATCACAAAGGGGTATTATATTTTATCAAATGTTCTTTCTGTATCAGTTGAGATGATTATATAGAGTTTTTTTATTTTACTCCATTGATATGTTGTATTACATTAATTGATTTTCAGATGTTAAGCCAACCTTGAATTCCTAAGATAGATTCCACTTTGCCGTAGTTTGTGATCTTTTCGTCATGCTGCCAGATTCAGTTTTCTTGAAGATTTTGTCTGTACCCATCATATAATACTTATTCTACATAAAAGATACTTTATTTTCTTCCCTTATCTGGCTTTGGTGCCTGAGTAACAGTGGTCTCCTACAGTTAATTGGGATGTACTTCCTATTTATTCTGTTGGTGCTTTCTTTTCAGTTTAGCTAAAATGTTCTATAAATGTTCAATTATTTTGTTTATTTACTGTATCCCTAAGTTACAGGCCTTAGGCTTGTTTTTCCCTTTTGCTATTTTAAACAGTGCTGTGGTAGATAATTTTGTTATATGTCATTTTTTTGTATAAATGTGAGTCAGTCTGTAATTGAATTTCTAGAAGTAAAATTCTTGGGTCAACACATAGCTCTGTATTTCTAAAAAATACCAATTCTTATTTGATTTTTTTGTAGGGTGGGGAGTAGGAGGTAGAATGGTAGAGGGGAACTTAACTGTACTTAGCTAGCAGGTTACTTTACAAAGGGTTGTTTAGCTTCTCTTGTCACACAACCTCACTTGAGAATCTAAGACATTCGTGTTTAACCTGTAAAAGTTGGGCTTTACTTTTGTTAGCCAAGATATATATGCTGGGATGGATAAGAATTTGGACCAGGAAAGAATGCTTTATGAGGACAGAACATTTGTTAGAACTTAGGTCATTTAGAAAACAGATTTGGCATATAAATACATAGGTTACACATTTTGGTCTTGTGCTTTTCTCCTGTAGTTGTTTGAAGGTGTATTTCATGCCCGGTGTGGTGATACATACCTGTAATCCCAGCACTTGGGAGGTTGAGGCAGGAGGATTTCTGCAAGTTCGAGGCTAGCCCTGGCTACATAATGAATTTAAGGCCAGCCTGACCCTGTCTCAAAAAATTAAAAAAATAAAACATTTTACTGCTATTAACCTTCTCAGTAGTGAAGGTCTTGGCTGAAAATTACGCATATCTCACAACTGAAGAAAATATGTACAAGTCTGTCATATTGCAGACCCAGGACTGATTTGTTTTCTGGGTAATGTACTACTAATTTTTTTGTTTATTTGTTTGTTTTTGTTTTGTTTTGTTTTGATACCGGGGATCAAACTCAGGACCTTGTGCTTGCAAGGCAGGCATCGGCACCACTGAGCTAAATCCCTGGCTATACTACTAATTTTATAATTTCTGTTATAGTCCAGTGTGAAAAAGGCCAGTATTAAAATTTTGAAAAATTTTGATGAAGCTATAATTGTGGATGCTGCAAGTCTGGATCCAGAATCTTTATATCAACGGACATATGCAGGGTAAGTTTAGCTCATGTCTAGAATTTTTACAAGTGTAAAGAATTTAGCAGCTTTTTAAACTTTTAATAAATTTCAAATGTTTTCTCATTTCTTAATATGCCAAGCACTTTCACATACAGTGTGCGTGTTACATGGTATTAAAGTGAAGGCTCTGGAATGACTTCTTTTTTTTTTTTTGGTTACTGGGGATCAAACTTCGAACCTTGCGCTTGCGAGGCAGGTGGCAGAACCACTGAGCTAAATCCCCGGCCTTAGAATGACTTCTTGAGTTTGGCTCTGCTACTTATTGACAAGCTGCTTAACCTCTTGTTTTCTGTTTTTCCATCTATGAAATAAAAAAAAAAAAAGACATTGAAATAATATTACTACTGCATTGGGTTGTTGAAGGAATTAATGCATGGAAAGCACTTACAATGTTGCCTGATTCCTTTTTCCTTTTTGTAGGGGGAGGGGTCGTACTGGTGATTGAACTCAGGTCCTTGAGCTTGAGAGACAGGCATAGGACCACTGAGCTAAATCCCCAGCCCTGTTGCCTGATTTCTAGTAAGCACTCCATAAACCATCGGCATTCCACCACCAAATGCCAAGTTGATGAGTGTCATGTGTATGTAGTATAGTATGTTCCAGGCTATCTTTTGTACATTTCATTTGATTTACATATTAGCTGTTTTAAAGTCTTGATCTTAAAATAAGTATAAAGTAAAAAGATGCCAGCATTTTATGTGGGCTACATACTAATACTCGGAAAACAAATGAAATTATTCTTTGTATTTCAGAATTAAATTGGTTGTTCTTTTAGCCTGGAGCATAAAGACCGTGACACATAGGATATGTCACTTGCTGACAATTATTACGGACAAATCATAAAATTACTTCTTTTAGCCATAGATGTCATGTAAATTTGTGTAGACTTAATTACCCCACCCAGTGCCCAACCCAAATCCCATCAGTACCATGAAAGAGGGTTTTCAATATGATTAGATTATTTTTTTTCCTATGGAGGAAGGTTCTATTTCAAATGGGCTTTATTTTGAATAACATGGAATAGCCATAAATTATGTTTTTGGCTTTCTAGATTTAGATGAGATGCTTAAAAATTGATTTTGATTGTTAGAATTAGTATCTTTCTTTTTCTCTTTGTTTAGAAAGATGACATTTGGAAGAGTCAGTGACTTGGGGCAGTTCATCCGAGAATCTGAGCCTGAACCTGATGTAAAGAAATCAAAAGGTTTGTGGTGTTTTTATAGTTCACTTGTTCTTAGCTAAAAGGCCGAGAAGTGATGTGTTCATATTAAGCCTTGGCTCACATCAGTCACTGACTGAAAGGAAAGACCATTTAAGGTTTGAACTGGTTATAACCACAATATCTTTCACCTTGATTTATAGTCACAAGTGAGTACAAGAGCTTCATGTAATCTCATCTCTGTAAAATCTCTGAATGAAAAATTTCTGCCGAGCTTGCCTTATCCAAACAGAAAGCACAGTAGGATAACAGTAGTACTGTTTACCTGTTTCTTTAATGGCTGAATACCCAATCCAGGTTAGACGTCAGGTTTATCTTGTGATCCTTTATTAAATTTTTCCAAAATTACTGAAAGTTATTATGAAATACATGGAAAATATTAATAGTTGAAATTCGAATCCTTGTTTAATTATCACAAGAGCAGTTTGGTCAAGTCTAAGTTGGAGTTGAATCTCCCCACCATAGGTTTGATGTGTTTCCTACCTCCCCATACTCCCCCATTTTTGCAGTGCTGAGGTTCAAACCTGGGACTTGTAAATGTTAGGTAAGAGCTCTACCACTGACTGAGCTACATCCCCAGCTCCTTCTAATCTTTTTTGACAAGTTCATTCTTTGTGACCAGACACAGCTGATGTATGTGTGATTGTATATTTGTGTATGAATATAAAAGGTGAAATAAATTGGCAGAGCAATGGGGAGTGGTATTTAAAAGGTGGCCATCAAGAGAGGCTTCACTGAGAAGGAAGTATTTTGAGTACAGACCTGCCTACAACAAGGGAGAAAGCTGAGGCATTATCTGGAAGAATGCTGTTACTGGCTGAAGGAATAGGGCCCTGAGCTAGAGAGTAAAGCATGGTCAATGGACAAGACCAATGTGGCTAGAGTGGAGTGGGCAGAGTGTTGAGTGATAGAAGGTGAGTGAGAGACCATGACAAGGACTGGAAAGTGTTGGGGACACTTTGGAGGTTATGGCAGGGAACGATGTAATGTGACTTATATGTTAAAAGATTGATTTGGCAGCTATTTGGAAATAGAATATAAAGATTTAAGAGAACAGAGAAACAGAACATTCTTGTCAGAGTCTAATAGATAATCGTGGTTGTGGATTAGTTTAGTAGTTGAAAAACAGATATCCATTATATTTCAAGGTAAAGGCAACAGGATTATATCTATGTTGCCAAGCCCATCCATCAAGTTACTTACATTATTGATTTGAGACATGGCTACATAATGTGATGAATAGGAATTTCTGCAATTTGGTTGAACACATCGATTTATTTTGGAGCTTCCTTTAGTTTTCCAAATCTCTCTCTTAAGTATCTTTGTGTAATATAGGAGCATAGAGATTGCTCTGAAGGCATGTAAATGATTTCTGTGTGCCAGGAACTGTGCTAGATTCCAAAGATATAAACAAGAGGATATAGCTTCCATCTGTTTTACTCTGACTTTGACTTGTGAAATACATACAGCTATTTACCCTGCAAAATTGTTCAATCTTATGGATTTTCCTAATTGTATTATTTAGCTTATTGATCTCTCCCCAGAAATTCTTATAAATTGGAATTTATACCTAAAGTCTTAATGATTTAAGTTATACATTTTTTACTAGAAGACATCATGAGTGCTATTGCTCATGTTTTAACAGTGGTTACTTTAGGAATCAGAAGAGGTAGTAGGTATCTTTTACTTTTCATTGTAATCTTTTCCTCTACTTTTAAATTTTCTTACCTTTTGCATACTCTACTGCTTTATCATCCATCCCATCCCTTTGTCCTATGGCTTCCTGTTATACTTGAAATAAAAAGCTATTCTCTTTGCTGTGACCTGTAATGCCCCCTATAACCTTACCTTGAACTACTCGTCCTATCACAGATTAAACTCTAATTGGACTATTCTTTATCCTTTTTCTGGGGTTTCTTCCCTTTTAGGACCTCTACAGTTGCTTTTCTCCTGTCATCACTGGCTGCTCCTCCGCATTTCACTATTACCTCCAAAATCATCTGTGCCACCGACACACCACATCTTTGTTTTCTTACTCACTATCTGAAATTATTCTTTTTTTTTTTTTTCTTTTTTCAGTACTGAGGATTGAACTCAGGACCTTGTGCTTGCCAGGCAGGTGCAGCACCACTGAGCTATATCCCTGGCTCCTATTATTCATTTATTTGTATACCTTTTTTGTTTTATTTTGTCTTTTGAGACAGAGTCTTGTCCTGTAGCCCAGGCTGGCCTCAAACTTACTTTGCAGCCTAAGCTGGCATTAAACTCTGTGATCCTCCTGCTTTAGCCTCCTGACTGATGGGATTAGATGTGTGTGCCATCATGCCCAGGTTCTATTATACTTTTATAACTAGACTATTACTTTGTGAGAGCAAGGATTTTATGTGTCATACTCAATACTCCGTTCCCCAATTCTAAAATTACTGTATTCCCAGCACATGGTAGGCATTCAGTAAACATCTGTTGATTAAATTAATTAATCTTTAAGAATTTCATTAGAATTTCAGTGGTAGAGTCCTTGCCTGGCATGTGTGGCCCTGGGTTTGATTCCTGGCACCACTACTACCACCAAAAAAAAAAAAAATTAACACTAATATTTGATTCATTAGAGATTATTGGGATGGTAAGACTGTGGACAGTATTTATTTTATTTAAGAAAAAAGATCCTATCCCCAGCATTAAATATATATATAAAATATTTCAATTACATATATATATATTTCATTCATTCCTGTTTTGGACGGGATCACGCTAGAAAAAAATATCCATATCTAAAAGCGTTTAAGAGCATTTTAAAATATAAAACTGTATGAAATCTACATTCAATTTTGGCTCTTTTTCCTAGGATCTATGTTCTCACAAGCTATGAAGAAGTGGGTGCAAGGAAATACTGATGAGGTAAGTTGTATTTTTAGTATAAGGAGATTATTGCTAATAAGTCCCAGCTTTGCTTGTAAGTGCTACTAGGTTTTCAAGTTTTCTTTGTTCTTTTAATTCCCATGTTTAAGCATCAAGAGAAATCAGTGCTTCTTTATCCAGGTTGTAACAAGAAAAGGAGGGCTCTTAGTATCTAACAGTTTGCCTGGTGGTGACAGTGAATGTATCTTCAGAGACTATGTGTGCTAAACGGTATCTAGGCATTCAAGTTTCCATCAACCAACAAGCATCAGTCATCAGTGCAAAAATAAAAGTTCAAATGTTTCCTTCCCTACTCTTGTTTTACTTTTAGAAGTGGGGGCTTGCTTTTTGGATAGTTAATTTTGTTGAGAGTTGGGAGTAGAAAAAGAAAAGTGTTACATTTTTTTGACCATCTAACATGAAAGTGGTCATTACTGCTACTAGTAATAGACCCTAGTAGTTAACCCTGGGAAACAGTAAATAACATGTTAATATATCATAGCGAGAGGGTGGTTCAGATTCTTTCATACATGGAAAGAACCTCTTGTCCAAATGATAAGCATATACATTTGTGTTTAGAGCTCTGATTATATATGCACCTTGATCTTCTAATGAATAACTATTATCAACAGTTTGAATTACTTCCTTTAGGCCCAAGAAGAGCTGGCTTGGAGGATTGCTAAAATGATAGTCAGTGATGTTATGCAGCAAGCACAGTATGACCAACCATTAGAAAAATCTACAAAGGTAAGAATGACTTGTTCTGACTTAGCTTATGTAAAATGGGAAAAAGAAAATTCTACATTTATAAAAATAAAAAAAGGAAACAGGGTACTTCTGCATCTACCTAACAACTGTTTCCAGATACTGAACAAGAAGCAGTGTAGGGCTGTAATCCTTGAAAGAAGAATAACATTGAAGTGATCTTTAGTTCACTGCTTAGAGAGAGAAACCAAATAGAACCTGGTACATTTGCTGAAGAATCGGAAATCACAGTTTGGAGAACCTGATGTGACTAGAAATTATTGGACAGGGTACCAGAAAAGAGGAAGCTGCTCAGAAGGAGAGCTGCGGGAGTATTTGGAGAGGTCCTCTTGAGTCCTTGGTCAAATATATATATTGTACATGTCCAAGGAAAGAACTCCCAACACTGAATGATTCTTGGAACATAGGGCTAGGAGTAGTTCATGTTCCTCTAGGCCAAAGTAATACACAAAGTATTGGGTAATGTCCTCAAAAATGGGATGTCCTTCTGTTGGAGCTAAATTAGTCCTAGAATACAGCACCTCAGCCAACATTAAAAACAAGTTTTGAAAGGATTAGACTGATCTATAAGTAAAAATTGCATGTCAAAACAAAGACTAACCCTCTTTAAAGGAACACAATGAAATTCATTACTCTATAGTATAAAGTTATAATGTCTGTCATCTAATAAAAAATTAGGCATGCAGAAATCTTGAGCAATTATCAGGAGAAAACTCAGTGAACAGAAGAAGCAGGCCAGAACAGAAATGATGAAACAGAACACAGAAGATGATGAAATTAGCAAAAATTGTAAAAGAATTGTTTTACATTTTAAATATTTAAAAATATATTCAAGAAGACCTGGGGATGTAGCTAAGTGGTAGACCACTTGCCTAGCATACACAAGGCCCTGAATGTGTGTGTGTGTGTGCGCGGCGGGGGTATCGTCAGGTGTGGTAGTACAAGCCTATAGTCCTAGCACTCTAGTACTTTGGGAGGCTAAGGCAGCAGCATCTCAAGTTTAGGTCCAGCCTTGGCAGCTTTGTGACTTATCAAGACCCTGTCTCAAAATTTAAAAAGGGGGATGAAGCTCAGTGCAAAGGCCCTGTGTTCTATCCCCAGTACCACCAGCTGGGGGGGGGGGTCATGGTGGTGGTGTATATGTATAGGGTATAGGTGTATAGGTGTGCATGTATGTTTAAGAATGTCAAAGGAAGGATGAATAGAATTAGAGAAATAGAAGGTAGTTTAAAGATACCTAAATGTAGCCAAGTATGGTAGTTCTCACTTATAATCCCTACTTGGGAGGCTGAGTCAGGAGAAAGTTTGAGGCCAGCCTACACAACTTAGTGAGACCCTCTCTATATTAGTTTTCTGTTGCTATAACAGAATACCTGTGACGTCAACTTAAAGGGAAGAAAGATTTATTTTGGCTCATGGTTTCAGAAGTTTCAGTCCGTGGTCAGCTGGCTCCATTGCTTTTAGTCTTGTAGTGAGGCAGAAACATCATGGCAGAAGAGCATAGAGGAGGAAAGCTGTTTATCTCATGGCATTGAGGAAGTAGAGAAGGAATGAGAGCCAAGGAGGAAGGGGCTAGGGACTAGATTGAGCTTCAGAGTCACATCTTCATGATCTACTCCCTTCAGCTAGACTCTCACCTTTTTTCATCATCTCTCAATAATGCCATCAAAATGATCTTATCAGTGATGTTATCCACTGATGAAGTTAAAGTCCTCCTGATCCAGTCATCCTTTTAGGGCACACTTCTGAACATTGCTGCATGGGGGATCAAGTCCTTGTACCTGAGTATTTAGGAGACACTTTATATTTAAACCATAACACTGTATAAAAATATTTTTTAAAAACAACACAAAGGTTAAGAAGCAGCTAAGTGCTACAGCATTTGCCTAACATGTGTGAGGTCTTGGGTTCCATCCCTGATACTGGAAAGAAAATAAATGACTTGAATGGAGTTTCTTGGAATAAAAAAGTAAAGTACCAGAAATGAAAAGAATAGTGCTTAAAATAAATAATTCCTTAGAAATCATAGAAAAAAGGATGAATGAAAAACAGTGGAAAGAATCCAAAATGAAACCCAAATGAAAAAGACTGGAACAAAAAAGGAGCAAATTGTAATATTATGATTTGACCTCTAAAGAGGATGAGGTGCAGAAAAAAATATCTGAAGAAATAATGAGCAAAAACTGTTTAGGTTGATGAAAACTGTAAACCCATAGATACAGAAAGTCCACTAAACCACAAGCAAAATAAACATCAAAGAAAAACACACCAAGATACATTATACTCAAGTTGCTGAAAGTTAATAATGAAGAAAAATCTTTTAAATATCTGGAGGAGAGCCGGGGATGGTGGTGCATGCCTGTAATCCCAGCACTTGGAAGGCTGAGGCAGGAATATCACTGCAAGTTCAAAGCCAGCCTGAACTACTTAGTGAGACCCCATCTCAACAATCTCACCCATGTATGTATGTACAAGTATATCTGTGTGTGTGTGTATACATATATATATATATGGAGATTTTTTTATATACAAAATAAGAACAATAGTCTTTTTGTCAGAATCTAAGTAGCTTGTTGGCTTGGAAAACTGCTGAGCCAATATCTTTAAAATATTCCAAAAAGAAAAACAGACCTAAATAGTGAATACATTTTTGCAGTACTGGGGATTAAACCCAGGGGCTGGCACGTGGCGAGGCAAGTGCTTAACACTGAGCCACATCCTGAGCCCTTTGTTTGTTTGTTTTCCAGTACTGAGGATCAAACTCAGGACCTTGTACTTGTAAGGCAGGTGCAGTGCCATGAGCTAAATCCCCAGCCCTTTTTTTTTTTTTTTTTTAAGACATCTCACTAAGTTGCTCAGGCTGGCCTTGAACTTGCAAACTTCCTGCCTCAGGATACTGGGATTACATCTGGGATTACAAGCATGTGCCACCATCCTGGTTTTAAGATAACTTTCAAAAATGAATTTTTTAAAAATGAAGTTAGAATAATGGCCTTCATCAAACAAAACCCAAGGAAATTCATAACCTGCAGACCTTCAATTAAAGTAAATCTTAAGGCACATGTCACAGTGGTACATGCCTGTAATCCCAGCACTCAAGAAGGAGGCTGAGGCAGGAGGATTGCTGGGAGTTTGAGGCCAACCTGAACTACGTAGTGAGACCCTGCCTCCAAAAAAAAACACCCAATAAAAAAAAAAAACTTAAGAAATTCCTTCAGGAAGAAGAAAATAATACCAAGTAGAAATTTCATCTGTATAAAAGAAGTGGTAAATAAATGGATAAATGAGTCTTTCCTCATTTTTAAATATATTTAAGAGATAACTTTTCAAGATAATGGCAGTGTGTTTTGGGGTCTGCAACATACATAGAAGTAAAATATATGGTTGTAATGCGAAGATCAGGAAAGGAGAAATGGAAATAAATTGTTTTAAGTTTCTTAAACTTATAATGTTATTTGATGGCATAGTGTTAGAAGTTAAAGATTGACACTGTAAATATTAAGAGCAAACACTAAAAAATGAGAGGTATAGCGAATAAGCCAATAGTGAGAGATAAAATCAAACCCTCAAAACTACTGAATTCAAAATATTTAGGAATGGGGCCCGGGGATTTAGCTCAGTGATTCTGCTGCCTGCCTCACAAGCGCAAGGACCCGAGTTTGATCCCCAGTACCAAAAAAAAAAAAAATTTAGGAAAAGAAGAAAAAAAAGAAGGAACAAGTGGGACAAATAGTAAGATCATAGATTGAAACCAAATCATGTTAATAATTACATTAAATCCAAATGAGCTAGTTAAAACATTGTCAGATTGGATAATAAAGCACAGCAGGTTAAATGTAAAAGAAGGGAAGAAATATACCTTACAGACACTGTCAAAAGAAAGCTGGAATGGCTATATTGCTGCAAATCAGAGTAAATTTCAAAATAAGTAGTAATACCAGGCACAAGCATCAAGAAAATGTGTATACATCTAATAACAGTTTTAAAATGCATTAATCAAAAACTGAAAGAACTATACAGAGAAGCATACAAATACATAATAACTATTGGAGTTTTCAACAATCTTCTCACATTAATAGAGCAATGATATAAAAGATTTAACACTATTGCGCATTTTAACCTAAATGACATTTATAAAGCAGTGCACCCAGCAACAGCAGAATGTAGTTTTTTTTGTTTTTGGGGGTATGCACATGGAATATTCACCAAGATTTGCCATATTCTGAGCCATGAAACAAATTTCAATAAACTTTAAAGGTTTGAAATCATTGTGTGTTTCTAACCACAAAGGAATTAAACTAGAAACCAGTATCAAAGATATCTGGATAATCACCCAAATATTTGGAAACTAAACCACCCTCCTTAGTAACCCGTAAGTGAAAAAAAATTAAAGGAAAAGCTAGAAAGTATTTTGGATTGACTTAAAATGAAGACACCTAGCGCAAGGACCCAAGTTCAATCCCCGGTACCAAAAAAAAAAAAAGATTAAAAAAAAGAAAACAGCTCAAAATATTTGTGGAATGTTACTAAAGCAGTTGTTAGAGGGACACTGATAGCATTTAATGTTTATAATAGAAGAAATAAAAGTGTCTTCTGTCTTACTAGAAAAAGAATAAATTAAGCCCAAAGAAAACAGAAACTAGGAAATAACAAAGATAACTGAATATCAGTTATATAGACAATAGGCAGATAATAGAGAAAAACCAAACATTAGGTCTTTGAAAATACCAATTAAATTGATAAATCTCTAGCCAGACTTATTGGGTGAAAAATGAGATTAGGCATGAATTACCAAGACCAGGATTGAAATAAAGGATATCACCACAGATTCTACAGTTATTAAATTGACAATAGGGAAATAATATGAAAAACTTCATACTAATAAGTTTAACAACTTTGGTGAAATGGAGAAATTCTTTGAGAGACAAAATTACCCAAAGCTCACTCAAAAAGAAATAGGAAACCTGAGTAATTGTCTATTAAAGACCTTGAATTTGTAGTTAACCTTTCCACAAAGAAAGCTCCAGTCTCAAATGTAATTTAAAGAAAATAATACTCAGGCTGGGGATTTAGCTCAGTGGTTCCGCCGCCTGCCTTGCAAGCACAAGGTCCTGAGTTTGATCCCTGGTACCAAAAAAAAGAAATGAAAATGATACTTCTAGAGAGTGTTCTAGAAAAATAAGGTAATATTTTGCATCTTGTTCTATGAGGGCAACATTACCTTGACACTAAAAATCAGACAGTCTTTATAAACAGAAGACTGCAGAGTAGTTTCCCTCACAAGCTTGCATGCAAAATTTTTAGCAAAATACAAGGGAACTGATTTAGCAGTACATAAAAAGGATACTACATCATTACAGGTAGCAGTTATTCCAGAAATGCAAGGTGACTTTAATATTTGAAAATGAATTATAATTTACCATATTAAGATACTGAAAAAGAAAATATGATTATAGATGTCATCATCTGTAGATGCAGGAAAAGAATATAATAAAATTCAACAACCATTGATAACACTATTAGGAAACTAGGAATAGAACTTCTTGTACCTTATAAAATCTAATAGCAGTTACCAGGTTTAATGGGGGGGAAGCTACATGATGATCAAGGCAGTGTGGTATTAGCTTAAGTGTAGATATATAAATTGTTGGAGAAAAAAATAGAGTGTCAAAGTAGAGTCACATCTATAGTCAAGTGATTCGTTAAAAATACATGTGAAGATAATTCAGTGAAGGAAAGACCCATCTTTTTCCAAAAATGGTGCTGGAGGAACTGATTATATGTTTATAGGTAAGAAGTGAACCTTGGTGCTTACAGCATATACAAAATGAACTTGAAATAGGGCATAGACATGATAACAGATTATAATACTTATAGTAGAAAATCTTTATAGTTTTGTCTTAGCAAAGATTTCCTAAATCACACCCAGCATGAGCCAGCTATAAAATAGAAAAAATAATAATAAATTGAACTTAATCAAAACTAAAAGCTTCTGCCCTCCTAAAGATTCTGTTATGAAAATGAAAATGCACATCACAGAGAGGAGAAGATATATGCAAAATGTTTTTCTGATAAAAGAGTTGTATCCAGAATATTTTGAGTCCATGGACTCCTAAGAGTGACAATTTGATTTTATTTTAGTGACCAAAAGGTATGAACAAATATTACACAGAAGATATAGGGATGGCAGATATTCACATGCAAACATGCTCAATTACTCTTTAGGGAAATGCAAATTACAGTGATATTCTACGACATACCCTAAAGAACGAGTAAAATTTAAGAGACTGACAGTCCATGTGTTGGCTAAGATGTGGAGCAATTTGATTACTGGTGGAAATGAAAAATGGTAACAGCCACTTTGAAAAACAGTTTGGCAGTTTGGTATATAGTTAGACATAAACTGGCCAGGTATTCCTTTGCAGAATCTGATGTCTGAATTTTTTTCCCCTTTCAGTTCTTAGACTGATCACATTCCCCAAAGAAAACTCTACTGATCTCCTGCCTACAAGATAAAGGCCAGATTGCCGTTTTTCTAGGCACCAAGTAGGACAGAGCTAGAGGAAGCTCTGTATTTGTTATATTTAATCCCTGCCTGAGCCCCCTGTTTTCAGTATAATATCCTTGCCCTCAGGTATGCCTAGTGTACCTTAGCCAGAAATGCTTTGTTTTATTTTACTCAAAGATCTCTGACTTTTCTGCTGGTTTTGGGTTTTAGAGCCAGTCACCTTAGTTGTAGAATAATCACTATAGAATTAACTTATTCTAAGTGGCTTTTAACAAATCCTCATGTTTGTACCCACTTGTAGATCTGTTTACCAAAGGTCCTGGTGCCGTTAATTCCTTGGGCTTTGAGAGGCTCTAGATTATAAGGCAGGTTGCTTCTCAGCTGTCTCTAGTTTTAGGATTGAGATTTTTAAGTCTGTTAAATTATTTACCATTCATACATTTGTTTCTATCTTCTAAAATTTTTTTGCTGCCACTTCTCTTTTTCCCACTCATGTGAGTTTCTTTAAAAAAAGAAAAAAGAGGGCCGGGGATTTAACTCAGTGGTTATGGCGCCTGTCTCACAAGCGCAAGGTCCCGAGTTCGATCCCCGGTACCAAAAAAAAAAAGGAGTGAGTTGAACGAGTATACAATCCATCCACCATCTTTTCCTGGAAGTCAAATGACTATTGTTGTTAGGAAATTTTGACTTCCTAAAAGCTAATACTCTGTTTTCCTATAGCTTTACCATCTGGCTCTGGTCTTGTCATGGCAGCCACACAAAGCATTTTTTTGCTATCATTTTTTTAAATTTATTTTTTGGTACTGAGGATCGAACTGGGGACCTTGCGCTTGCAAGCCAGGCACCAGAACCACTGAGCTAAATCCCCAGCCCTATAAAGCATTTTTTTGAATGTTGAACATAGGCATTTAGTCCTACCTCACCAGTCTTTTCTTCAAGCCAAATGTTTCCACCTCCTTCAAGTTTTACTTCATCTAGGTTGATTCATGAAGATTTAATATGATAGAATTTCTGCTCATCTTGTTTGTTAAGGCATTAAACAACTCTTTTTTTTTTTTTTTTTGGTACCGGAGATCGAACTCGGGTCCTTGCACTTGCGCAGCAGGCGGCGAAACCACTGAGCCCGGCCCCTAAACAACTCATTTTTATTAAGTAAAAATTAGGAGTCAGAGAAAAATGAGGTTTTTTTTTAAATTTTATGTTTTGTGGTGATGGGGGTTCAAACTCAGGGTCTTAAGCATGCTAGGTGAGCATTCTACCACTGAACTCCACCTTTAACCCCAAGAAAAATATGTTCTACTATGTCCATATAACCTGCAGTAGTATGGAGAGCTTGAATCTGGTTTAAGTCTACCATTACCCTTTCCCTTCCAGCTATCTAGCCAATGTTTTTTCTCTGAGAACTGTCATTACCAGAGCTTGGTTTACTTGTGAACTTTTCAATGAGCTGATTTATACTAAAGCCCTGTTCATTTTTGCAGACTCTTCTTTTTTCTGTATAAGGGTGGTAATTTTTGTTTATATTTATCTTGTGGCTCCATCAAACCTAAAATAGTAAAGAGCAAGCAAAAGGTGTAAAAAGAAATGCAAGGTAGTTATTTTTGTCATTCTTTATTATATTGATATTCAAATGTTTGACAATAAGAAAATGTTCTTTAGAAAATCATTTTGAAAAGCAGATGTTTAAAATTCAAACTTTTCATTTGAGTTGTATGTTCAGATTTTATTCCCATGTGCTTTTATTTTTAGGATATACTGATATACTGTTATATGTTGATTTTTAAACATGCTAGGCCTTGTCTTTGGCTTGTTAGGGCATCTATCTTGTCTGTCTCTCAAAGATCCGTGGTATATTGGTACCGAAAAACACTAGTAGAAGTATCTGAGTCTGTTTTATTTTTTAATTTATTTTACAGTGCTAGGGATTTAACCAGGGCCTTTTCAGTGGTAGGCAAGTGCTTTACCACTGAGCTACACCCCAAACTTTGAGTCCATTTTTAAGACAGTATCTGTGACCTTTTGCAAGTGACTTTCTTTCTCACATCTCTTGTTTGTTTGCTGTCTCTCCTCCCTCCCTCCCTCCCTTCCTTCCCTCCTTCTTGGTATTATTAAGACAGGGTCTCACTATGTAGTTCAGGCTGGCTTTGAACTCACTATGTACCCTCGAATTTATGGCCATCCTCCTGCTTCAGCTTCCCAAGTCCTGGGATTACAGGTGTATGCCACCATGCCCAGCTAGATCCCTAGTTTCCTCATCAGTAGATCAGAGAAACTGGATGAGGAAACCTGGAATGATTCTCCTAATTTTTATTCCATGACTTTATGAATGAGAAGTCATAGGCCCATGCAGGATAAGTTGGTCTATTTACCCCATGTTGATACCTCTCTGCTTTAAGCCTTCAATGACACTTGCCCATAGACTATACTTAGATATTCAATGTAAACTAGCTCATATCTTTACTGACTTCTTTCATGAACATGTCCCAGCTCACCAATAGTGGAGACTGTCTTCTGTGATGTTTATTTCCTCCCCAGTTGGAGTAAAGGACACTCAGCCTCATGAACTTGGTCTAGGGAATCTAGCTGATTCAAGTTCTTTTTTCCTTTGTAAAGACTGTGGAGTATTCCATATTATGGTTTTATAGTTATTTAATCACTATGGTTGATAATTTAGGATGTTTGAGTTTTTTCCCGTTACAAGCAGTGTTTTCATGAATGTCTGTGCCTTATCCTCTCTTATGAATGTACCATAGAGTTGGTTAATTTCTAGAAGTAGAATTACCCTCAAAAAGTGAGAATATTTTAATATGTATTGCCAAAATAAAGATAAAAAAACAAGTACTTAACATCTTTAAGCTTCTGTTCACTCATATGTAAATGAGGCTAATTACAGTATTTTACCCCACACAGTTTTAGTCAGCTTCTGGCTGTCAAAAGCTCTGGCATATAATAAACACTGACTAAGTGTCAAATGCCTTTCTTAATCTGTAATGATAACATGTCACTTGTTATACAGTGTACCCTACCTTTTTTTTTTATCTTTTCTTTCTTTTTTCTTTCAGCTATGATTCAAGGCCTGAGATAAAGGAGGTCTTCTTTGGAAAAAGAAGAGAACTTTGTCCTTTGGTTGGATTCTTCAACACAGCCAGTGAAAACAGAGCACTGTGGTTTTTTTCACTGATACATCACTGTTGTTTCCAAGAAAGAATGGGAGACAATCCTAGACCATAATGCAGAGTAACATGTAGACACAAATGATGCACATGATGTTCACACAGTGAGTCGCAAAGATACAAAATGGTATTGTTTACATTACTAGAAAATTACTAGTTTTCCAATGGCAATAACTCATTTATGAAAGAGTCCACTGGATAGACAGGGACCACATCTTGTGTGAGGCAGATAAATGTAGAGTTGATATTTGATATACATTCTTGCAGTGGGAATCCATCCCTAGCAGCATCATAGAGCATGTAGCAGAGGTGCTTTAGTTTATCCTCCTAAAACTAACATGTGAGTCAGCCCCATTGAGAGCCAGGCAGCTCTGAGTGGCAGTGTCGGGCTAGAAGCTTGTAAAACAGGTTGAGGATTCCTTATGTGGTCTTTCTTCACAGAAGCTTTAATTTAGAAGGAAGCTGACAAGTCACAGATCAAGCCTCAGTGACATGGCCGTTCCTTTTGGTGGTAGCATACAATTTTCCACATTTTACTTGCTCCTGAGATGCACTATCCTTAAAAACAGTCTCTCCCCTGCTAATAAAAGGGCAAATCTAGTTTACTTTGAACACTAAGATTTGTTCTTCTGGATGTTCCAGTTGCTTAACTTCCCCTTCAGAAGATGTGTGGGAAGATAAAAAAGTAAAGACCACTCCAGTTTCTCACTTGTAGTACTTTCAACAAAATGGTTACTCTTAAGATTGTTTTTATTTCCCCCCGATAAGGTGGGGAGAGAAGCACTCAACTTTGTTTGACTGCCTTCTCCATTCTTTGGTATAAGTGGGAAGTGTGCAGTTGGTGGCTTTTTTTCCCTGTCTTCTGGACAGTAAGAGACTTGCTTGCTGCACTTCTGCTCAGTCAGTGTTGTGTTGGGTCTGCACAGCCATCCACATGGCTACCCAGTTGGTGAGCACACTCCACTGGCCATGCCGTGCCAGTCCTTCCTTGATGCATGTGACTGAGGAGAAAGAAAGTTCTATTAGGTGTTACTGGTTTTGCTCAGACTTTAAAAAAAAGAATATATGTATATATAAATATATTATTATTAATCACCTCTGTCCTTGAGAAAATCTTGAATGAATAGAGAGTTTATTCCATTGCAATCCTGATTGTGTAGAGGCACACTGTTTGAAAAGAAGAAGCAAAAAGGCTGTGTATAAGTTTTTGGTACTATGTACCACTTCTGTTATTCTTCTAAAGCTGAAGTATTCATGTACTTAAACCATATGCTATTTAATTGTTTGATTTTAAATATATATATATATGAATTATATTTAAAATTGTGTCAACTTTCTGCTTTCAGGGCATTGATGGATTTTTATATATTGCTCCTTCCTAATATATCCATACCCAGAACATGAGCCACTACTGGACTTAGCCTTGTGTTAGCAGTGTAGGCATAGAACTGAGGTTTTTAATATATATGTATATGAATATATATGATTTTATATATATATGATTATATACATATAGTGATTGACTCATTTTGTTCTTTTAACAAAATATTTCCATCCATTTCACATTGCTTCACCCTTTAAATAAGAGAAGAAAAGCAATATAAAAGTCATAGAATTAAATACGGTTTTAGGTGAGTCTTGCTGCCACTGCATGTTTTGAAGTAACAATTTCTGTAAGACTCTAGGCTATTTAAACTAGTGGTTTCTGTTGAAATAATTTCTAGTCATTTCTTAGCACACATTTTGTGCTTCTGAGTTACAGATACTAGTGTTGTAATCTCTTAGAAAATAACAGGTTTGAGACTTGGTCTGGTGTGACCTGTTGTGAAACATAAAAGCAGTGTGGCCTGAAATTATTAGTTAGATTTAATATATGATCCAAACTAGATCCTTGTACTCATTTTGAAACTTGAAGTGGATCCATCGTAACATTGAGCACTCATTTGTGTTCCAGGTGCCATGTAGGTTACCCACAAAATGTGATTCTCTGGTGAGTTCTTTATAAGGTCAAGGAATCATCTGAACACTTTATCCTTATCATATCATTGACATCAACATAAATTGTTTAAAAAGTAAAATATTAATGAGAAAGTGATAACTTTTTTTAACTTGATGTGTCTTTATCACCCCTGTAAGATTTGATGAGTATAAAGCAAATATTAACCAAATCTAGTGATGAGCAATAGAACAGGGAGGAAATTTTTGGTAACTTTTTCTATTTGGGTTTCAGTATTCAGCAGAGCTTTATGAAATACAAGTGGTTTACAGTACTAGAGCTTTGACTAGTTCAGTAGAAATTTGGAGGGGAACGTCATTCTGAATTATAAAAAATTATAAACTTCATTGTTGTTTTATTTAAGTACTGAGAGCTAAGCACTTGGTGAAACAGCTGATTTCTCTAACAACACGGTTTGGGGATTTGCCTGACTCAACAATAATTCCTCCCACACACTCCTGTAAGAGTGAAGGCCATATTTGTGCACAGTGACCCTTTTTCTCTCACCGTCTCCCCTACCTTCCAGTTGATTGGACCAGGGTAGGACTGATTTTAAAAGGCTCAAGGCAGTTCTTTATCTTAAGAATTCTCCATGAGGGGGCCGTGGCTTTAGCTCAGTGGTTCTGCCACCTGCCTCACAAGTGCAAGGACCCGAGTTCGATCCCTGGTACCAAAACAAAAGAATTCTGCATGAGGATGAGAAGCTACCAGTCACCATCTGGGATGATGCCTTTGATGGGCCACCCACAGAGGCAGGAGCTGGCACTTTGTGGACAAGCATGAGAGAGCGGCTAACTTGGTAACCCTGAGGACTCCCTTGGTCTTGGCATCCAGTCCTGCATCCTTGCCTTGGCCTTCACTCATCCCTCAGGTATTCATCGAATGAATCTTGATTTTTAAAAATCACCCCAAAGTGAATTTTTATTACATGCAACCAAAAGGACCTTGACTAAAGAGCTGCCACACTGCTCTAATTCCTAGTGATGATATATGCTCCACCCATGTGCAAAATACTGCTGAATTCTGGAGAATTTTTCTCCACTAAATCTTTGGTCATTTTTTGTGTTCCCTCAAAATGGAATCCTACCCTAATGGAACTCCCCTCAGGTATTCAGAAGACTGAGGAAAGATGTCGATTCAAGGTCAACCTAGGGAACTTATTGAGACCCTGTCTCAAAATAGGAAAAAAAAAAAAAACAGCTGGGGATATAGCTCAGGGGTTCTTGGGGTCAATTTCCAATATAGGAGAGGGGAAAGGAGAGAACACCCTCCTTTTTATAGTGAATAATCATTCAGGTCCTCTTTATGCTTACCACTTTCTACTGAAGGGTAAACATGATCCCCACTCTTATCAGTACAATAAACCCAGAAATAGAAGGAATTTCAGTTACTGAGTAACCAAAGTTTAAAATGGGAGGAGGGGTTAACTATTATAAAATCTATAAATGCTAACCACTTCCATGTACTAAGCCAGATCTCCGGCCTTTGGCTGGAGCCATAAAGTATAGAATAAACCTCAGTAAATCCTTCAAGATTACAAACTTGGCGATGGGGTTGGGAGGTGCTCACACTAACAGTTGACCTCCGAGTCCCTTTCAGGTGGGCACTGAGGAAGCCTCTCTGCTTGAACAAACTTGGGAATATCTCAGAGCAGGGGAAAGGATACTGTGGATTCTGGACAGGTGGGATGCTGAGGAAGGGGATTGGAGGGTATTGGTGTTAGTAGAGTTCCTGAGGACATTCATGTTCAGGAACAGTTTCTACTATCTACCTGGCACAGAGGAAAGCAAATATTCTTGGATGATTTTATGCAAACAAGTATTTCTTTGGTTTGTTGCTTTCAAACTCCCTGCCTCTGGTGCAGTCAGAATGCCACAGAACTTACCTGGAATCAGTGAGCCTCTTGCCTAAGGGTGGTGGTGCATCCACAACTACTTCACACCACTGAGGCATCTGTGGGACTGGGCCCTTAGGTATCCCTGAGCACAGGGTATGAGCCCAGGCTGAAACAGGTGGATCCTTTTTGCCCAGTCTGTCTATGATGAGTGGCCATGGAACATAGAAAGGAACTGAGATTTGCAAGGAGCAAGTGAGACATGAAGATTGTGCCAATTATGGCATTTCCTCAGGCTTTAGATTTCTAAGTCTTCTCTTGAATGTGCCCTTCAGCTCATCCCTAAATGACCCTAAGCTGTTCTCTGCATCATGGTAAGAACTCCTCATGCCATACAACAGGCTCTAACTGAAACACCTGGCAAGGCCGTGGATTTAGCTCAGTGGTTTCACCGCCTGCTGCACAAGTGCAAGGATCAGAGTTCGATCCCTGATACCAAAAAAAAAAAAAACAAAAACAACGCCTGGCTAGCACTTAACCCTTCAGACTAAGCATAGCTCGAAGTGGTGAGTCGAAGCTCAGAACCTCACCAAAGCCCCAAGAGGCCCACCCAGATTTTAGCTTTCCCTCTCTTACCAGGCAGCAACCATTGTTCCTTTAATTACAAAACTATTGGTTTAATAAATATTCACCCTGTGAATGTCAGGCACTATTTATAGTACAAGGACACAGGAAGGAATAAAACTTGCAGGCCTCTTAGAGCTACTGAGGAGGAGTTGGAAATTAGAAATTGCATCTAAAATATATGTTGGGCTGGAGATGTCACTTAGTGGGAGAGTGCATAATTTAGGATATATGAAACCCCAAGTTCAATAATACTAAAAAAGTAATAAAATATGTTGTGGTATTTTTTGTTCGGGATAGCCTTTTGAGCCTATGATGTAACCCTTTTACACCTATTCCCCATGGCTACTGAAAATCATCAGGTTCCTGCTGAGCTAATAGGGAGAATGTAGTTTGGAGAGAGTGGGACAGAGGAACTGAGGAGGCATTACCCTCCTTCGCCCTCCCAGCCTCAACCTTCCACAAGGACCAGTTGCTGTGTCACTCCATTTACTCGACACACTTAGGTGTTGATCAAAGAGTCAGCATCTTGACGTGAGTCCATCAAAGCTAGTATCTCTCTGAGTAAGACAAAAGTATAGAAAAGGTCACAGGATCAGTCTTAGCTCTCTGCAGAGCTTTGGTGCATGTTAATTCTTAGAGCAAGGAAACTAATACAAGTTTATGTGCATGTGATATAAAATCATGGCCTTAGAAAAACAGCGAGGTTTTAAGCTAATTTCATGAAGTGATGGGCTTCTTGTGAGTTCTACTTTAATGATAATAATAACCACCATAATTGAGTACTTACCATGTGCTAGGCACTATCTTATCTGATCCGTATAACACTCTCACAAGGTTAAGTGCTTGTTTTTTCCTGTCTTATAAATGAGGCTTACCAGGTAAAGGAATTTCTCTAGGATCTCATAGCTAAGAATCAAACCCAAGCAGCAAGGGTGCTGCTTATCCACTATTGTGTCAGACTCTAATGTTTGTTCCTCTTTCTTTCATTTTGCCCCTGGTCAGTATTTACCACAGACTAGTACAGCAGATACCAGAGGCTTAAGAAAAAATTAGGGAGTTGTGGCTTTAAAATGTAAAACATCCCATCTATTACCTTAAAGCAGTAGTTTTTTTATTTTTATACACATCTGGATCTCCTGAAAAACTTGTTAAAACACAGTTCCTGATTGAGGAAATCTGGGGTGGCATTAGAATTTGCACTTTTAACAAATTCCCAGATGATAATGTTGATGCTGTAGTAATCAGTACTTGTTATTTTCCCAGCCTTAGCTGCAGACAGGGCCCATGGCATATTCTTCCAGGGCTGAGGCTTCAGGCTGCCAGGATAACACCCTAGGTCCCCATGTAACCCTTTGCACAAATCCTGTCTGGTCCATTTCCTTCCAGTTTGTCTCCCAAATCCTTGATTCCACTTGACCTGAGATCCTGACCATGCCTTTCTTGACCTATTTCTCCTTTGCTAATCACCTTTCCAAGTCCCTCCCATAGGATGCTCTTAATACTACTTCCTTTTCTTTTCCTTCTTCATCTTGCTCTCAGGTCCTTCCTCCTGCACCTGTTTGCCAAGCCTGTTATATGCCTGTTCTAGCTGCTAGGGAATACAGCAATGTCCAGGGCAGACATACTACCTACTTTCCTTGCAGTCTTGAACATGTAATGACAAGTCACTGTGATGAGTACTATGAGAGAAAGAAACCTGTTGGGGGCAATTTAGGGGGACTTTCCCCCTCCCTCTTCCTGGCCATTTCAGTTTTTCTCCAGGACCTCCCCATTCTGCACATCTGTTTTCCTCAGAATACCGTTTTTCTTGGGGCTGGGGATGTAGCTCAGTGACGCTGTGCCTGCCTGGCAAGTGCAAGGTCCTGAGTTTGATCCTCGGTATGGGATGTGTGTGGAGGGGTGCAATTTCTTCACAGGCCTGACACATGTAGGCCTCTCCCAACCCCCAGTCTCCCCAGTTAGACAAGGATACAGGTTAGCCTTGTCCACAAGCTCCTGGGCAGGACTTTGCTCCACATCCTCATTCAACCCTTGTTACCTTGGGAGGCTGTCCCCTCCTATCAGCTTTCTTCATTCCATTCCCACTCCAGGAAACATTGCTGGCCATGATGATCTGCCCAAAACCTAGCCTCCAACTTTGGTCTCTTGGTATTTCACTCACCAGTCATCCCCATAACTGGTTGGTTGTCATTTCTTGCAACTGTTCTACCTCTGACTGCTCCTCACACATTTTAGTCTACCAGCCTCAAGCAAGACAAGTTTTTTATGGTTATGGTTTCTCCTATTGGAATGAGTTAAAAAAAGGGAAGGAGGGCCGGGGATTTAGCTCAGTGGTTTCACCACCTGCTCTGTAACCGCAAGGACCCGAGTTTGATCCCTAGTACCAAAAAGAAAAAAAAAAAGAAGGGAAGGAAAATAGTCATTATTCTATGAAGATATTCCCTCATACTTCAAGAGTAAGGTTTTGCAAACTAGCCTTTCAAAGAGCAATTCAAAAGCAATAAGCTCGTGGTTCTATTGTAAGGATTAGAAACGTATACCTACATGATAAACTGGGGCTGAAGGAAGATGGTCCTAATGAGACAGTTTTATCAAGCTTTCCAGCAAGAGTGCCAGGCCTGTAGTTTGAAAGTGTTGCATTTCAGGCTTCGGGTGTAGTTTAGTGATATAGTGCTTGCCTAGCATGTATAAAGATCTGGGTTTGATCCTCAGCATTGCCAAAAAAGAAAGTGCTGCCTCTCAAACAAATTAGACTTCAAGAAAGTCTGGCTGTAGATATCATGAAGACATTGGTACGTAAGATGCTTGTGGAGAATTTGAATAAAATTGTTACTTGAAATGTGCAAAGGGAAAAAAGCAATATCTTGTTTTATTGTATTATTGTAATACTGTTATTTTAAATAAGCGTGTGTCACTAAATAAATTAGATATTATAAGTAGACATCTGGCTATTTGATCCAACATTCCTAAAAGGTTAAATACTCAGATACCTTAATTTAAAAGCAAAAAAATGTATTTCTTTCCTTCTGAAACATAGTCTTGCCGAGTTCCCCAGATTAGTCTTGAATTTCTGGGCTCAAGCAATCTTTCTGTCTCAGTCTCCCAAATGGACTAGACTACAGGTGCATGCTACTGTTTTTTTCATTAGGAAAATAGGGATTTGCCTTAAATACAGAATCATCTGTATATGTGATGAAATCCTTATTATCTGATAAAGTCCAAATTCTTTTTGAGCATTGGAGACCTTTACAGACTTTAGTCTCCTCAGTGGTAAACTACATGTCTCCAGCTCTCTTTTAGTACTCAGAGCTGATGCCTTTGCTTAAGCAGTACTCGTGATTTAAAATGTCCTCCCCCACACTCGGCCTAAAGAAATCCTTCTGGTCATCACTTCTCTTCTGCCTTCTCCCAACCCTTTCCCTGATGGTCAGTCTGGCTGAGTTTGCCTGCTCCTCCTTGCAACATCCAGTTAGAATCATCAAAAGTTGATTTGGGGGCTGTAATGGGTTTAAATATGAAGTGTCCCTCAAAGGCTCATACATTGAGGGCTTAATCTGCACTGCAGTGGTGTTCAGAGGTGGGGTCTAGAGAGGTGATTGGATCATGAGGGTTCTAACCTCATCAGTGGATTAATCCATTGATGCATTTGTAGCTAAATCAACTATTAGGAAGTAGGGCCCAGTTGGAGGAAATAGGTTCTTAGGGGTATATCTTTGAAGGGTATATCTTGTCCTTATTCCCTTCTTCTTGGTCCTTCTCTCATTCTCTCTTTATGCTTTCTGGCTTCCATGAGATAAGCAGCTTTCCTCTGCCATACACCTGTCTGCTATGATATTTCTGCCTCACTGCAAGGCCCAAAAGCAATGGAGCAGCCAGCTGACCAAGGACTGAAATCTCTGAAACTATGAGCCAAAATAAATCTTTCCTCTAAAGATGATTTTCTCGTGTATTTTGTTATAGCAGCTGAATGTTGACTAACATTGGGCTCATTTGCCCAGGCTCTGAACTAATAAACCTTCCTATACCTCAGGGGCTGAGAGGCATACAATCTATTCCTACCAACAGGAAGATGCTGAGATGTCCCTTTTCTATGCCAGTCCAGCAGTTCACAAGGTATCACTGATAGGTGCCCAAGTTTCCTTGAGACTCTCTGGAGCCCTGTGAGGCCAAAACTTTTCATAGTACTACTAACAATGTGGATTTTTTTTTGGTACCAGGGATCAAACTCAGGTCCTTGCACTTGCAGGGCAGGTGGCAGCACCACTGAGCTAAATCCCCAGCCCTAAAATGTGGATTTTTAAAAAATTACTAAAATATTTGCACCAATTATGCAACAACAGCTTTGGGTGAAACTTCTGGCAACTTACTGGGAAACTAACCAGTCATCATTTAAATTCTTCATCACCATGCACTTACCAAGAAATAAAGGAAATTTCCCATAAGAATGTCCTTTGTGAACCAGTAAAAGTTACCAGTTTTGTGAAAGAACATGTTTTTTAATATCATGACAAAACAAAGTTTGTATAAAGCATTCCTGCATACTGAAGCATGATTGTTGTGTCCAGGAAAGGCACTTTTACAGAGACATTGCCACTATTTTCACAGAATGCCGTTTTTACTCAAAAGGACAGCTTACAACTCAGCTGTTGACACTTGGTATTTTAAAAGACATTTTCTTCAAAATGCATGAATTGAGCCTATCATGTTAAGGAAAACAGCACTGACATTTATTCCAAGGATAAAAATTTGAGTTTTCAAGCAAAATTTATTACATTAAAAAACTGGTATTCACCACTGTGAGGTTGATCGCTCCCTAAAACAGACCTGGTTAACTGTAGGGAACAGGGAAAGGGGACAGTACTAGAAGTTCTGCAGTAAGTCCTAGTCTCCCAAGAGCCACAACAGCACAAGGCAAATTACAGGAAAGACAGAAAAATGAGACAGAAGAAGCTGAGCTTTGGGTCTGATCAGTGCTTCTCTGGGCAGCAAAGACAAAAGCCCCCAGCTTACCTCACCTTTTATTCAGTACATCAGGAGAAACAAATGTAACAGATGACTTGCAGAAAGTTCAGTACATCTTGGTAAACAAGATGTAACAATCCAAGAACAATGAGGAACTGAGTAGATGTTTGTTCCTCCCAGGATGTTTTCAGCTGGTGTAATCTTGTCCTGGAGAATCACAGCATCACAGGATCATTGAGGTCTCAGTTGTGACCAGAGGCCCAAATGGAATTATGTCTCAGAATTCCATAGCTGGGCTGTAGGCAGGAGAATTAGGCTAACCAAATGATTTTACCCTAAAATTATGTAGCATTGCTCCCGACACTTAACAAGTGTGATTTTTAAAAACTTGTATGAGGCTGGGGATTTAGCTCAGTGGTTTCGCCACCTGCTGCACAAGCACAAGGACCCAAGTTCGATGCCCGGTTCAAAAAAACCAAAAAACTGTTGTATGATATAATGTGTCAACATTTGGAAGATCTGCATAACCCAAGGAACTAATGTCTTCCAAATAAATGACCAAACAGAACCATGTGTAGGTAAATGTTCCTTTCAAAGTTGCAAGCTCCACTAACAAATTTTGATGTAATACAGTATGGAAAGTCTGTTGAAGTGGTTCAGATCCTACATTAACTAGCCTTTAAGAAATAACTAGGAGGCTGGGATTTAGCTCAGTGGTTCTGCTGCCTGCCTTGCAAGCACAAGGTTCCGAGTTCAATCAATCTCTGGTACCAAAAAAATTGTTCAAAAAATAACTAGGGCCGGGAATGTAGCTCACTGGCGCTATTCCTGCCTGGCAAGCACAAGGTCCTGAGTTCAATCTCCAGTACTGAAAAACAGAACAAATCAAAACAAAAACAAAAAACTACTTGTCAGGCATAATAATCCACACCTATGATCCCAGCTACTTGGGAGGCTGAAGGATGGCCAATTTTGAGGACAGCCTGGGCAGTTTAACAAGACTTTGTCTTAAAATTTTAAAAAAGAAACAATGACTTGTCAAGTTTCAGATAGCCATAATAACTGAATAAGTTGTGGAGTTAACTCCTTACATATCTGTGAAGTCCAATTTTTATTAATCTGAAACAGCCGATCACAACAAATGTGATGCAAAAAACAGGAGAATGCAGCTGTTTTTTAAGTCAGGCATTAAAGATTTGTACAAACATTTAAAACTGCCATTTTCTCACTGAGCTACATAGATCATTGAATATGTTTTGTGTTAATTTATAATGAGCCTTATCTGTAATAGTCTCTTCACTGACTGTACTGAGAAAGGGTCATTTCATTTTCCCCTTCATTTTTAAGACTAACAACAGGCTTTTGCTATTTTCAATTTCTTTAGCACCGAGGAGCTCTTTTTTAAAAAAAAATTCTGTGTTCTCAGCAGCTCTAATTTGTTTCCAGGATATTTTTTCCCCCAGAGGAGCTATTTTTCCATGTATATTATTCCATGTCTGCTTCAGTTTTATTTTTTTTCCCATTCTTCAGTTTTCTGATGTACACAATTTAAAGGAGAAATTTATTTTGGCCCACAGTTTGAGGCTATGTTCAGCTAGCTCCAGGACAGAAACATCATGGCAAAAGGAATGGCAGAGGAAAATTGCTAACCTCATGTCAAGCCAGGAAGTAGAGCCGGTTGGAAAGCATTGTTATCTTTTAATAAATTAAGAATATTTTAACAATTTTGCAGCTTGGGGCTGGGAGCATAGCTCAGTGGTAGAGGACTTGCCGAGCATGTGCAAGACTCTAGGTTCAATCCTCAGTACCACTAAATTTATTTTTTCTTGGTTTTAATTTTGAATACATTAAGTATGTCAGAAGTCTTTTTTTTTAGTACTGGGGATTGAGCTCGGCTCCTTGCGCTTGCGCAGCAGGCGGCGAAACCACTGAGCTAAATCCCCGGCCCGCAGAAGTCTTGAGACTAAAAAGTTTGAGAACTGCTGAATTAAGCAAATGATAAAAGTGAGTAAACACATAAAACTAAGGGAAATTTTTGAAATAGGAGTAGAAGAAATGAATTTAAATCTTTCCACTTACATTGTCCAAATGATGTTTTAGAAGCCCCCAGGATTACAGATGAATAAAAACTTTTTTTTTTGGTACTGGGGATCGAACTCGGGTCCTTGCTGTTGCGAAACAGGCGGCAAAACCACTGAGCTAAATCCCCGGCCCATGAATAAAAACTTTTAAAACTGTGCCAGTTGTTAGGCAGGCACAGTGGTATATTCATGGAAGACTGAGGCAGAAGGAACACAAGTTTAAGCCCAGGCTTGATGACTTAGCAAGAGCCTGTCTCAAAAAATAAAAAAGGGCTGGAGATATAGTTCAGTGTGAAGGCTCTAGGTTCAATCCCCAGCATGCTTCCAACACCACACACATGCCAATTAATTAAAATACTCATTCTAATTATAATAAAGATGTTTAATAAAATATCTCTGGGACTTGGGATGTGTCTCAGTGGTAGAGCACTTGCCTAACATGTGTGAGGCTCTGTGTTCAATCCCTAGCATCACAATATCTAATTAAATGTGTAAATACCTGACAATATTACAAAGGTTGAGAAGATTCAGAACCATGAACAGTTGTTAATATTGAGGCATATTAAGAATACAGGCCAGCCGGGGATTTAGCTTAGTGGTTTCACAGCCTGTTGTGCAAGCGCAAGGACCAGAGTTCAATCCCCAGTACCAAAAAAAAAAAAAAAAAATACAAGCCACTTCATGACTAAATGTAGTAAAGTCATAAGGATTTGATGTAGTCTATTTTTTGTTGGTGGCGCAGTGCTTCATGCATGCTAAGCACATGCTCAATTACTGAGCTATATCCTCAGCCGCTGTTATTAAAATATTAGGGCCAGAGATGTAGCTCAGTGGTTCCGCCACCTGCCTCGCAAGCACAAGGTCCTGAGTTTGATCCCCGGTACCAAAAAAAAAAACC